GATTTCGTAAAAATGGGTTTGGCGTTATTAGTTTCGATTTGATGTTTAATCTCACTGGTGAAAGTAAGATTGTCTCCTTCTAAGTAAAATATGTCTTCGTAATTTAAGCAAAGATTTGTTATTAATTCTTCTTCTTCCTCGTTAAGATGTTCTGTTCGAAGTCGAGATTTTATTTTGTTGGTACGGTCAATTTTATCAGAGCAATAATTTTCCAAGTTATCGTTCAACTGGAAATTTAGGATAGGGTAGTTTAAATAGGGTTCAATTACTATATCGGAAAAGTCGATAATTTTAGGAATTGCATTTGCGTTTACTACGGATGTCAGAAATTCTCCTTTTTCATTTACGTGTACTAACGCGTTGGGGATATGGACTTTTTCTTTTTCTTTTCTGTGCAAAATTGCATCTGTATTCGACAGATGACATTTTAACTTGAATATTTGTTCGGATCTGGGATCTATTTTAATTTGATTAGGGGGTTCATTGTTACGCGAATTAGTTTCTACTTTGTGGAGAGGTAATGTTTTAAAGTTTGTAATTAGTTGTTTGTTTTTGAGGTCTATCGTACACTCGTAATGTTCTAAGAAATCGAGGCCTAAGATTCCATCGAAATCAATATCTAAATTATAAATGAAAACTTTATGAGGGTTTCCCACTTGAAACGGGACTAAAGTTGATTCAGTGACAAAAATTTTTTGGTCTGTAATACCCTGTATAGTAATTTGTTCGGGAAAACGTGGTTTGAAATTTTTCACGGTATTTTCTTTGAAGATAGAGATACCAGCACCGGTATCGATAAGTAATTTAAACGTATTTGATGCGTCTTTTATATAGTACAGGTTTTTAGAGTTTACAGCAAGAAGAGGGCTTAAAGAAAAGTCTGTTCTGGAAAGTTCAGAGATGGGTTCATGTCGTCCAAATTCAGAGTTTGTATCTGATTTTGTATTTGAGACAAAGATTCGTTCATTGAACTGATATTGTCTGGTGGGTGGTTCTGATTCCGGATTGTGAGAAAATCCTGATAGTCTTGGCTATCAATTAAATCGGTTGATTGATCAAATGACTGGTAATAATCGGGAGGAGAATAATTATTATCAGAGAAATCTTCGTATTGGTAGCTTTCATTTAAAGCTGAAGTATAGTCATTAATATAGTTAGGCTCATAGTTAACGAAATGAGCTCTGTGCCTATCGTTTGAAAAATTAGGATTTTTATGGATTACAGAAGGGCGTACTTGTGAATTATTTTGATTTGGTGTAAATTGAGGTCTTTGTTGGTCATTGTGTCTATTGTTTTGAAAATTATTATTTGAGCTGAAAGTTGGTCTCTGAAAGCCATTGCTTTGAGTGTTATTGAAGTTTTGATGGCTATTAAAATTTCGAGAATTGTTAAAATTATGAGAGTTGTTGGAATTCTGCGAATTATTTTGGGAATTTTGTCGAGAACGACATTCATTGTACGAGTGGCCCATACGTCCACAAAATGTGCATCTATGTGGTTGAAGTTTTGGTCTTCTAATGGGTTGATTATTTTAATTGGGTTTTGGAGGATTGGATCTATTGATTTTTTGTATTTCGAAATAGGATAATTGTAACTCTCGTCTGATGCGGACTTGAGCTTCAAGAAGGTCTTTTGGATTACTAGCACGAATAATATGAGCGATTTTTGGATCGAGGCCGGTCAATAATGTATTGAGCGCCATTGATTCAATTAATACAATTTGGGCCTGTTTTTCTAGAGCAGAGAGGCTAGATTTCTGTATATTAGCGTGCATTTTTGCATTAAGGACTTGGACACGATTAAGGAATGTAAGAGCCGATTCATTTGGAAGTTGTTTGACTCTTTGTAAATCTTGTATCAAAGAAGATAAGTCTCTAGTGTCTCCAAAATGAGAGGTAAGAAGCTGTTTAATTTCTAGATACGATAATGGATTTCTTGAACTTATAAGTTGCGCTGCTCTTCCGCGTAATTTATTTTTAATGTGAATTACTAATAGTTGTTTTTGATCGCGCGTAGACATATTGTAGGCATAATCACAAGCATTTAAAAATGTGTGTAGAAATATCTGATCGCCTTCAAATTCGGGTACGATAGAAAATATTTCGGATAATTTGTAAGGTTCTATTTCAGGCTGGTTCTCATTACGAGAAGCGGGACGAGAAACGTTGCCGTTATCATTCATGGTGGTTAATAAATCAATAAACGAAATAGAAATAAAAATATAAGATAATGGATTAATTAAAAATAATTAATCAAATATAAATATCAAATAATAAAACAAAATGTAGATATCAAATAATAAAACAAAATGTAAATATCAAAATAATAAATCGAAAATGTAAATATTAGGTAAAATAATAAATCAAAATATAGGAAAAGTATTTTTCTAAGACAGTGTGTGATTAGCAGAATAATCGACACAGGTAATCGTTTAATAAAATGAAAAATAAAAAAGTTGACGATTTACAGAATAATCGCCAAAAGTTTATAATTATTAAAGTAATTATCAAAAATATTCAAATTCGGAATAAAATTATTAATTAAATGAATATTTTATATTGGAATATCGAACAGTATAAGGTAATAAATGGTATTGAACAAAAATTATATACGAGATGATTCAGTATTAGACTTACATTAGTTCCAAAAACATCTAGTCGTCTTGTTCTCGACAGCTAATCTACCAGGGGCTTCACTTGGTGTTCCTTCCGTAGATGTCTGCAAAGTTAGGACGGCACTGCTTTTTGGAGTTTTCTGGTTCTTTTTCTGGTTAAAGGATTGGAATCCACCGTTGTCAGTTAGGTTCTCCTTGTTCTGCCAACGTTTACAGATCCTACTGCGACTGCGCCACTTTTTATATCACGAAACACTTTTTTGACTTTTTAAAAAATTTATTTATTACAAAATACAAGTTACGTGGTAAAAATGAATGAAATATAAAATATAATGAATGAACTACAAAAATATACTGAATACTGAATTAAGAGCGACAAGCGGTTTTATAATATTAGTAAATGCTGACTCAGTGGGAACGTGTAAAAAGCTTGGGTCCCGCTGACTCTGCTGGTACTGCATTTGCAAGGATCCTTATCGGCTCAGGTTGTTGGAAGTGGAACCTGATACCCTGGGAATCGTCGTGATAAGGAACATCGGTTGGTACAATGCATATAACATATATATATATATATATATATATATATATATATATATATATATATATATATATATTGTTTTCCAAATAACTCTAATTTAATCTGGCTGTACGTATGATCTTTCGAAATATCATGTTTATGTAAAGCCTTAAATAATTCTTTTGAATTATCGTAACCAGATTCACACCACGGAGTTTGATGTTTGCCCTTATTTGTCGAAAATAAAATGCAAGGCCAAGAGAAAAGTTTGTTTTTTATTTCACTGCCGGTAAGCCATGGGTACTTGCTGTACCAATTATCTAAAAATGATCTATTACTTCCCTTACCTGCACTAATATTTATAAACCGGGACATTTTAGGCGAAGGACGCCCCTTATTTTTAATAACAATTTGTTCTTCGTATAAAATAGATGAAAACCCATTATGCAAAATATAATTTACAATACCAGACTTATCAATACTTGGAGTTTCTCCGATGGCTTGCATTTTTTAGGTTAATTTACATGAATTTGTTTACACTTTAATTTAAAAAAAAACTTCTAATATGTTAGAAAACCCTTTAACCTTTAACTATTTACGGCAGACGTAACCTATCACAGTATTACTTTAGAAAATAAAAATAAGTCAAAAAAAGAAAGGCTAGTTCGTGCACTGAATATCACTTCACTTTACTACTTACGTTCTTATATGAAATAACATTTCATCCCGCGCTCGCAATGTACAGTTCGCGACCGATCACCAATCCAAATGAAACATCGACAAATTTAAATTTGCCGTACTTGGTAACTAAGTTCATATAGAAAGAAATGTATATTTGGTTGCTAATCAACTAATATTCCGTTGATTTTTACAAGTAAATCGTCAATGTTGGGATCGGCTTGCCGAAAAAACAAAACGGGCTTTTTTTAAGAATTCACAATCGGATGGATGTCTCCGATATCGGATCATCCATTTGAAAAGTGTCTACGCAGGGATCACTTAACGGTCAGATTGGACGAATTCTTTTAAAAACCATGAATAAAATTTAGTCTGGTCGAATTGGTCGAATTATTTTAAAAACCATGAATAAAATTTAGTCTTTCTTATCTCACAGATGTTTTTTTATTTCACAAAAACAAATGACATCAACTGATTACCTGTCACAATTATTTATTGAAATACTGATTAAATTGAATATTAAAAAAATCTATAATATCTATAAAGATGTGTGTCGGCACTGCCGACCCTGACCGGCCGCCACTGCTCAGAATATCATATATTTTCTGTTGGAATCCCTTTTTTTAATGCCTGTATACCTTTACGTAGATTAAAGGTATCCGTATATTAAATTTGGATAGATCTCTTTTGTTTCTTATTTTTGCCATATGATTCCAATATAATTTTTGTATAACTCTAATGTCTTTTGTGTCTATTACTATTTTAAGAAGCCTATTTAATAGGATATCGTGTTTAACGTTATCAAAAGCTTTTTCATAATCTGTGGGTTTTTGATGGGCTTTTCCCATAAAAGGTGTCAAAACGGTGTAAAAAAAGCGGTCAAAACGCCATTTATGCAAACATTGTTTTAGCGATTACCGATAATTGTATACCTATTCATCAATTTCTAAAGTTTTAAGTTAATTTTTAACTTTCTTCTTTACGCAATATTTTAAAATTGTTGTGGATTTCATGATTTTATATAATTAAATGATTGGCATATGTGGATAATCGATTTAGTTTCTTTATAATGATAAATGTTTTATTTTTTACATTATAATTAGTATTATTTACACTGTTGTAATTATATTCACGAGTCCTCCAGGACACGTAACTACATTATTTTTGGCAAAATTCAAATAAAATAGCTTAGAAAGTAAAATAAATGTTTATTTTAAAAACATATAATTAAATATATTACCTTTCTGTATAACATATAATATATTAATTATATTTCGAATAAAGACTAGTAAAAATACAAAACTTAAATACATACTGCATAATTATACTATAAAAATTCTTATTATTTAGCAACTTGACTTAGTTTGAACTCTGTTTCACATTTGTCAGCAATCATCTTAGCAATAGCCAGAGAACTAGTCGCCCCAGGGCTAGGAGCATTTCGACAATGTAAAATTCTGCTGGATACTGGACTACCTGTTGGGTTTAGATCGAATACAAAGTCGTCAACTAAGTTACCTAAAACAAGATTTTAATTAATTAAAGGTTGATTTTACTATATTTAAAAGCTTAAAACGAACTATCCTGGTAACGTTTTATGAAAAAACGTAATAAATAAAGACATTCAAATGACAATAGAAATCCGGAGATTTCTTAGGTTTGAAATCAATTTAGGAAATTGCCAAATCTGTGCTTTCTACAATTATCAAAACCAACAGACGATAAAAGAACTGACATCATTAATATACAATGTGCATTCGCTAACACACCACTTTATCTAGGCAAAAACTTTATGTATGTAACCAAATCTTTCTGCCATATTAGTAATTATTTAAAAATAATTACACATTGAGGTTATACCGACATCTATTAAAGCGAATGGTAGTGCTCTGTATTGAAATTAAATCATAACTCATGATACTATGAATAACAAGATAGGATCTTCCCGTAGCTCAAAATCGGTCGGGTTCGCGCATGCCGATTTGTATGCAGTCTGTGATGAAATTATTAGACGAAAATAAGCTAAGAGGTTTAATAATTACAATAATCGTACACATAAGGATATCTCCAAACTATTTATTAAAGATTATTTATTGATATATACAAAAAACTGACATTTCGAACGTGCAACTCTTCAATGACGTCACAAAAACATGCGCAATATCTTATCTTATAGTCATAGTATCATGTCTTAACCTTAACTGTCTTGTCCAGGGTTGCAAGGTGAACATTTTTGTCCTCCCTAAATTGAACATTAAAAGATCCCTAGAAATCCTTAGATTGGAATAAATGTATATATGGTTGCCTAATTCTAAATAAAATGCATCGAGCAAAAAGACAAAAGAGGGAATCTAATCCTTATGAAAAGGAGACCAAAAAAGTGGCCTCTGATGGCGGACATCCGGAAATGCGAATGCGCCAAATTTAAATTTTCTGACACTTATTAACAGTAGCTATATAATATTTTTCAGAATGTGTCTTAGACGAGAAAGTTTTAATTAATTATTAACGATAATAGTCTAAAATGCGACACAACTGTTAAAAAACTTCAATATAAATAAGATTTCATGTGACATTTGGGACAAACAATAACATAACCCAACTAAATTTGATGTCAAACAAGGAGAGAGACTCTCTTTCCTTGTTTAATGTGGCCTCTAAAGATCGCACTTCATGTCTAACAATATTTTTGCGCCCACTACATTTACATTCCCTCTTTTGTCTTTTTGCTCGATGATAAAATGATAGGATATATTGATGGTTGTCTAATATAATAACATGGATATAAAAAAATAATTGTTGTTTTATACCTTTATTTCAAAAACATTACATTTTTAAAGGGTACAATAGCAAGGTTTTCAATAAATTTAACAAAAACGGAATAACGTACTTATTTATTGGTTTGAATCATGATACTATGACTAGATAAGATATAGCGCATAATTCGTGACGTCATTGGAGAGTTACACGTTCGAAATGTCAGTTTTTTGTATGTATCAATAAATAATCTTTAATAAATAGTTTGGAGATATCCTTATGTGTACGATTATTGTAATTATTAAACCTCTTAACTTATTTTCATCTAGTAGTTTCATCACAGAATGCATACAAATGCCATTTAACTTTAACAAGAAATCAAATTTTACTCTCCGACGGCATGCGCGAACACGACCGATTTTGTGCTACGGGAAGATCCTATCTTGTTATTCATAGTATCATGCTTTGAATATTCAATTTAATATATTATTATGTATTATTCACTTAATAACATTAATACAAAATACAACTTAAAGAGAAATGAGACGGTGAAGGATAGAATTTTATAGGCATAGGTAAATATTTGAGCCGGTCAAAAATCCCTAGATTTTACACTAAATATAAAAAAATCCCTCTGTCCCTTTTATACCGAAATATCCCTAGATTCGGAATAAATCACTAGACTTGGCAGCATTGGTCTTGTCTTTCATATTTTCGTATACTCATCAATGGAGTAGGGGAGAGTAGTACACAACAAAAAAAAGTTTTTGAGTTCAAAAAATTTATTTTTAAATTAAAAGGAAAATTTTTAAAGCAGTATGTTACACTAAATTTTTCTTAACATTCTAAGAATGAAATTCGCTAAAAATTTACATAAGGAAAAAAAATAAAACTTAAAAGAAAATTGTTTCATTGTGTACCACAATTCATTATACTATGACTAAGAAGATAAGATATTGCGCATGTTCGTAATGTCGGTTTTTTGTATGTATCAACAAATAATCTTAATCAATAGTTTGTAGATATCCTTATGTATACGATTATTGTAATTATTAAACCTCTTAACTTATTTTCGTCTAGTTTCTGCTTATAGTTTTTTAAATATATTATTATTATCTGTTGTACACAAATAACACAAAACAGTCATTTAATATCATTTTGCTAATTAAATAATTTCATCACAAAATGCATACAAATCCTATTTAACTTTAACAAGAATTCAAATTCTACTCTCCAATGATGGAATGCAATACGCGAACACGACCGATTTTGTGCTACGGGAAGATCCTATCTTGTTAATCATAGTATCATGCCAAAATTGTTACACAGTGAAACATATTATATCTAGTGTCTTAAGAAAATGTTTTAACCACGTAAAGCATTTATCAACCATCTAATGATCCAAAGTCAATATTAAATTTGTAATAACCTGCCAAGCGTTGAGTTTTCATGGAAACGGGTTGAGGTAAAACCATTTTTATGTCAACTTTATTTACTAGAGCTAACTCAAGCTGTGGAGGAAAGCGAAAAGAACCCATTTTCTCACATTTTCGTAAATATGAAATTTCATAATCATTTTGGCCATTAACTTCGGTAAGTAGCTTTCCAACATGGTAACTTTCCAGTGGACCTCTTTAGGAAAAACGTACCAATACAAAATCGCCCTTATTAGCACTTCGAAAATAATCAGGTTCTTCATCAGGTTATTCAGGAATCCAATTATCATCATCATCTGAGGAGTCGGCTAGTTGGATATCACTTTCTTTACTGGAGTCAGACTCTTTTTTTTCGCCGTTTAATTAATTTGGTTGTTATAGGGAATTCCTTTTAAAAGATATTTAACCTTTTTACTAATTCGTACTTTCCCCTTTCCTCTTTCTTTCTCTATTAAGGCATCTTTCTCGGGTGTGTCAGTAATAATTCTGCTTTTACCTCGCTCTCTAGGTTTCCTGCTAGCTTTACGGGGTGGTGCTTTTGAATACCCTCTGAAGTGTTCTTGACTAAAAATATGGGAAGTTTATTATCCATAGTTGTTTCTAGCTGAAATCCTACGTTAAATGATCCAGATTCACTCTGGAGTTCATTCATTTGGAGTTCACTCTGGAGTATGTCCAGCACGTTCAGTATCTGGGATAGTCTCTTTAGGAAATTGTAAGGTGGAAGGTTGAGGTAATTAGTGTTAAATCCTGACATTATATTGGAAGGAGTTAAGGACTTTGCATGAGCTTTTCCAACACATTCGGCTATGTGGTAAATAGTCATGGGGATTCCAGGATGTCGTAGAAGTTAAGAATCAATACCAGCATTGCAATGTGCTTCGAATGGTTTAAGTACTGATATATTTAAGGGCTGCATTTTGTGACTATAGTGTGGGGGTAGGGTCAAAATAGTCACACCTGCACCTCGAGCTTTTCCAACAACGGCAACTGATATATGGCTTTCACGATTGTTATATATCAGAAGGGAAGGATTGTCAACTGTTACTATGTGAATTTTGTATGAAATGGTCAAGATCATGCGAAAAGAGTTTGGCCGTCATCCAACCGTTCTTCTTACGGTGCCTTATCCTTAAGGACGTTGGCCATTACATTTGCCATTTAATCTTATTTGTAGCAGCCCTGAATAGTTCTATGGAGGTCATGTTCGTCATTTGCCGTAGGTTTTTAAGCCAAGAGTTGCGTCTTCCTCCTGGTCCCCTTTTGCTATTGACTTTGCCTTCGATTATAAGTTGGAGCAGTTCATACTTTTGATTTCTTATGATGTGACCAAAATATTGTGTTTTCCGTTCTTTTATTATAAGCATAAGCTCTCTTTCCTTATTCATCCTCCGCAAGACTTCCGCAATTGTCGTATGGCTCATGTAGGATATTCTAAGCATTTTACGGTAACACCAGAGTTGAAATGCTTGGATTCTTTTTTGTGTTGCTTCTGTCATTGTCCAGGCTTCAACACCATAGAGCAAGGTGGAGAAAACATAGCACTTAAGTATTCTAGTTCTCAATGAGATGCCCAGCTGGCGGCTGCATAGAACTTTTTGCATTTTGTAAAACATTGTACGTGCCTTTTCCAGGAGTATTCTTATTTTTAGTGAGTGGTCCCAAGTTTTATCAAGATCACTTCCAGGGTACGTTGTTCTCGTTACTCTTTCCAGATCTGTTCCGTCGACATTGATCTTCACCCTTCTGTTTTGGTGCTTGCTGATGACCATCGTTTTTGTCTTCTTTGTATTCAATTTCATTCCAAATTCTCTACAGGCTGTCGTTACTCGGTCCATTAAGCGTTGCAGGGCTTCAGCATTATCTGCCAGTATGACAGTGTCATCAGCATATCGCAGGTTATTTATACATTGCCCGTTTATAATTATACCATCCGTGGTGCCTCCCAAAGCTTTCTGAAATATCTTCTCAGAGTAAACATTGAACAGCAAAGGTGATAGGACACATCCCTGTCTTACTCCCTTCTCGATATTGATTTTTCCAGATGTTTCGCTTTTTATTCTGATTTTAGCCTTTTGTTCTTGGTAGAGGTTTGAAATGATCCTTAGGTCTTTATCTTCGATATTACATGACCTTAAAATATTTATTAGTTTATCATGTTTCATCAGGTCAAACGCCTTCTGAAAGTCAATAAAACACAAGTATACATCAGAATCGACATCTCTACATCTTTCAACTAGCACACGTATTGAAAAAAGTGCTTCTCTTGTTCCGAACCCATTCTAAAAACCAAACTGAGTTTGACCAGTGTGTTCGTCTAGTTTA